ATATTTGCTGGGCTTTTTCTGTGTAACGTCGCCATGACGTTATTCAGTACGTCGTTATTGTTGGGCTCCCCTCCACTTTCGCTTGGTTTGGCTCCACATTGATTCGCAGCGAACGCAATTTCTGCATTTGCCAGCCTGTGTTCATCTGTCTGTCTTTTGTGTCCATTGTTTTTGCCAGTTCTACCTTCTTTTTTTTTTTTTGTTTTTAGTTCTTGCCATGCATTTGTTATGTTTGTGGTTTTTTGCGCCACCATCCGCCTGTGCTTCGATTTCAGCAAAAATATACATTTAGTTGGTGTACCCTAACGTTTTTGTATGTATTTTAGAGCGTGTTTTCTCTAACGAACACAGCTGGAATCCTTTAATATTCTCGGTTTGCCTCGCAGGCCATTTAATTAAAATCAATTTTTATATGCCGGAATGATTTTAGCATATGATACAATTCGAGGATACATTGTAGTTGTCCCAGGGGGTTGCATAATAGACCCATATTTTCTATTTTGTCTATTGCTGTCCTGGATCAGACAATGGTTTTTAAAAAATATAGATAACATAGCTGAATCAGCGCCGAGATAGAAACGTATTTTTACGAATTTAAATTTTATAAAAAAAAAAGATTATATAAAATAATACCAGACGAAGAATTGGGGCTTTAGAGATTTTAATTTACTATGTAAAGTTGTGTGATATTATTTTGGAAATCTTCTTACGGGTTCTAAGACTTCCTGCTATTTCTGTAGCACTCCTTTACTTTTTACAATACAAAATTAGAGGCAATTCTATAAGCGACTGGGTACTGCAAGGGTAAACAAACTTCGACTTTCCAACGTTAACTTTCTTCCTCTCTTTTTTTATTATTGATTTTCCTTTTTTTATGTTTACTGCATGCCGCTGAAGCGACCACACATTTTTGTGATTTATGGCGGTCTGCATCCAAGCCCAGCCGAAGTGAGTCCTGCATGCCATTTATGCCATTTAACCGTTGCATGATTTTTCAAGAGTGTCAACCGTGAACAGCTGATTTACGATAAGTTCGAATCATTTTACAACTCACTAATAAACTAAAGTGATTAACGGCTGTCCAAGGTCAACAGGAAGTCCTGCATCTACTACTCCTGCCACACTTTATGATGGTTCCCAGTAGGTTCTAGTATACCACCGAGTTCATAAATTTTGTAGGCCAAGTTTGTTGCATGGCAAAGGGCATCGTTTCCCTGGCCCAAAGCCCCCCCGGCGAGTGCATACACAGCACATGGACAGGGAACCATGTTATCCCAATGTTGTTTAATACCCGAGGATGTAGGGGCCAAAGGGCCTTCAATTATGTACCCATTGTTTTTTCTACTGGTCGCTCTTGGTGCAGACAGAGTAAACCAAATGCCCTGCACGTAACAGAGGATTGATTTCTTAATTAAAACTAGGGGCTATTGTTTGCCTGAAGCATTGATAAAGCTGGATACACCTAAAGAAATGGGTGCATTTGTTGAATTGAATTTCTGTATGATATCTTATATTTATTGCGTTATATAACGAGCTAAAAATATAATGAAAATAATAGCGAATGCAAAAAATATATGTACATATATTGTCATCACATATTTAAGCCGCAATGTGGATTAATTCGTTTGACCGTAAGTTGCGTCCATTTTACAGCGGAATTGATAGTTCTGCGTTAACGAATTTATTGGCGGAAATATATGATCTCACCTTTAGCGGAGCACCTCGTAAATTTTCGGCGGTTTCGCAGCCCCGACAGGGTAATTTCTTTTTTGAAGGCTGCTGGAAACATTCCTTGAAAATATTCTGCAAAAATTATGTAAAAATGCCTGGCACAGGAAAATATATTACCATCGTTGTGGTGGCTTGAACAATAAATAAAGGGGTACCAGCGCAGGAGCCTGAAGCCTGGAAAAGTTTCTCCAGAAAAATAATGTACTTTAAGACCACAGCCGAGACAAGTTGGAACCCGGCCTTAATTAGGGCCAGGATGTGCCCGGCCCGGCCCATCATCATCATCATCGGCTGTTTGGCCAGCTATCAACTGCCCTTGCTGCAGCAGGAGACCTGACCAGAAAATGTTATCACAATGTTTTGACAACTTCCTCGACACTTTTTGCATCTCACCTGATTGTCGTTGGCGGAAATATATTTCCCCTCTTTTTTTTATTTTCTGTCAGCCGCAAATGTGTCGTGGAATTCTCAGCTTTCCCTTTCGTAGCAGTTTTTCAAAGTTTTCTTTATACTGCTGCGGCCCCGAGTTTGCTTTCCCATTTTTTTTGCATTTGATTTATGGCACAACGGTTTTTTTCGGTTCCTGACCAAACTATGCATATGTACCATAAACAAATACTGCCCATTATTATCAGATTGCAGAAGCAACCTTAAAGCTGGATTTAAAGTAGAACAAGTCACATCTCTTGACTATTATTCGGGGTAAATAATAATTGCTGGCTCCCTGAAAAATGTATGAGAAAATTAAACCATTGTCTTACAATTTGCACACAATAAATGAATAACTCCCTTCAATTTATTGAACTTTAGTTGGCCTGCTCAGTTTTCAGAAAATATTTCCATAAGATTAGCAATTTCAAATGCCAGCAATTTAAGAATATTTTCAAGTGTTTATTTATACAGGGGATTAAGGTTTTTCTACTTCACTTGTTTAAAGATTTAAATAACAAGCTTGTATTTTGTAGTTGCCTTAAAATTATATTCATAAAAACAATAAAAAGGTTTGTACAAGATGACACATATCAAACGCTAACAATTAAAGAATAAACCTCTTTAATTGAATGTAAAACCCTGAATAAAGAGCCCTTTTGTTGCATTTGATAGTTTCTAGACAACCAAAAATAATATTTACTGAAACAATAAATGCCAAATGACGATTAAACTAAAATTTACCTACTGTGTATGTCAGCCTTTGTTAAGTTAAACTAAGCATAGGCAGCCATTCCGCCTCCAGGTAGCCATAATTTATATTTAAAATGACATTGCCAACTCGATACACGTTTAAACAGTCAATTATGTCCACATATATGCATGTACATACGTTCTAATAATGTGAAAGCTTAGTCGTGATGCGCTCTCTACGGTAAACATTCATAATGCGGTCCTTGTTTTAGGTCATTATAAGCATATCACAGGTGGCAGGCGCAGGCCATTCATTAAATGTTGGCCCCACTACAGTTTCGTGTGGGCAAATATTTTTCCAGGGAATCCATAATGGGTGAGAGGGGGTGGTGTGTGCTTTTAGCAAGCAGACTATTGGTTGCAACATTGCCTGCGGTGCAACACTTCCTGTTTATATAAACAAACACGTCAATGTGTCTGCCTGCCGTACATAGTCCCTCCGGGCCCCGTTTTCCTGTCACACACAGGTCCCCCTGGGTCCGCCCTTCACTTTCCAGCCCTATTCACGGAACACAAAATTCTACATTAGCTCGACAAGGTTTCAGATTGCAATAAAAAAAGGAAGCAGTCGCAACTAGGAAGTGCCTTTATACACATTGTAGGGACGATACGAATGCGAAGGATGGCTTACCTAAACGTCCCTGCATCTATGGCTCTATTTCATTGCCTTGATTTATAATTTGGGAATTCTGTTTAGTTTCATTAGCACATATTCCGGGGAAATATATTTATGCTGATAAGATTAAATATTCCATACATAGCACACACTCGTCGCGCCTGTCACGCTCAGATCTGTGTGCTCTGGTGACGCATTAATTATCCTTTGAGACCGCATCGATTTATCCTTGGCAACGCATGGATTATTTCCTGGAGCTCTCCCTTCCGCCATTCAGCAGAGTTATGTAAAAGTTGTGTAATAATACAATTAAGCACTTTCATGCTGAACGCTGCGTTTGATTAACAGAAATTCCAAGTCAGCCAAGTGAAAATCTTTCACCAGGGGGAGGACTTAACTGTACCTTCCCCTCGCCAACTGAAAATGGCAATGCGAAGAGAATGCAATTTAATTAAAACGAACGAAATTTCATTTTATTTTTGTCTATCGTGAGGATAAGAAATGTAGTGAGTGCCTCCGGGGAAATGCTACAAATTTCAACATTATACCAAGCTCTCTAATGCTTGGCAAGTTATGCTTCGGAATTTTCCATTTATTTCGAGTTTGAAAACTGACTGAACACGACTCAGCTAATCGGAGTTCTAAGAATTTGTGGATTAATAAATACTGAAGAATAAACGTGGCCACAAAATAAACCATTTGCTATCTGACACCTTTATTGCCCCCAGAGCTACGCTTCTATAAATATCGCTCATACGACACGTTGCACTTCACTAGACACTCGAGAGAGAGAGTTTATGAAGCACTTCTAGCACACAATTGGCCAACTATTGAGCCATTGCCACGACTTATATTGTTTGTGGACCATTAAATTTTTATTTTCAACTGCAACGTAGCTAGGAGCAATTTCAGTCCTGGCTTTATGACCAGCCACGTGCTCCTGCTGCTAATTGCCACTGCAAAAACTATTATCAAATTCTGTCTTCCTTTCATTTTTGCCAAGTGGACTATAAATAAACACAGAGGGTGGAAAACCATAGCATCCGACTTTAACTGAATGTTGAACAAAACTTTCTCCCCTTTTTTCGTCAGCGTTTTTCCCTCTTTGGGCGTCACCATAAAAAAGAGAGTTGAAATGATTGAAATGAAAAGTTTGCACACAAGTTAGGTGAAGTTTTTCAGCACAAAGCCTGAATAGAAAACAAAAGTAAGGACGACTTAGTGTCAAAGTTGTCAGGCAAAACGATCAGTGGCAATTAACCCTGGAATTTTGAGGAAAAACGAAGTTTAATATTTAAGAAATAGGGATAAGCTGACACACACAGTGCCCGAAATCAGGCAATGTCCTTCTGAAGGGACCGTCTCCAATATCGGTTTATTATCGATGCGCACGATAAGGTGAATGTCGATTCACTTTCACATCCGCTGAAGTGGTTTCAATGGAACGTAGGGTATTCGGTGCTCGGCGGCGATGTCGGAAGTTCGGGTTAGGCCAAAGCACAGACTTGTGGCCGGAAGTGTGCACGTTGGTAGCTGTGTTAGTGCAAGAAGGCGGGGCAGTGGTGTAAGTGCTTTTCCAAGCAAATTGCCAATGTAAATGTTGCAGCAACCAGCAGCAGCGGCAACAACTAAATGCGGCCCACAACAGCTGTGTAAACAGCGGCAGCAAAGGCAACAACGACACCAGCATACAGCCGACAGTGGGCAAAATGGGCTTTCAAGAGTAGAAAATTATATAATTTTCATAAAGTAGAGAGTTAATATACATTTAGGTGCCTTTATTTAGGATACTGCTGTTTTTTAAATATTTTTAAAAAAGATATTATAATAGAAAAGGCATCGATGTAAAAAAGTTTTTATACAATTAAACAAAATAAATTTGAAAAAATCTGGTGGATTTTCTTTCTGTCTTAGAAAAAAAAATCAGAAATAAATTTCAAATTTATAAAATGATAGATAAGCATAAAAGAATTTGCTCTCAAACAAAGCACGTTTTCTCATTCAGAAAAACCCATACTTTACCCACTGTTCAGGGCAATAAGAGTATTTGCTGATGACGTCAAAAGACTTGCAAACTCACACACACTCACACTCGCACACAAATGCAAATGCACCCCCTCTCCTCTCACCGCTTTCGCACAAAGCAGACAACTCAACTAACGGGAACTCAACTCTGCAGCGGAAAAGCAACGCAACCAAAATGGCCACAACGGCGCTTCCTGGTCGCCGTTTTGCGTTTTGCTGAGGCACGCGCGATTTGATTTGATTTTATTGCTCCGCCCACACTCACAAAGGATATTATGTCCATGAGCAAACGTTTGCAGCGACCAAAGTGCCGCAATCGTGATGATTCTAGTATAAAGCTGGACTGGGGAATAGCTAAACCTCAGGCGGAAATTAGGGGAAATTAGTTCAAGTTTCATTTTAAGGCTTTATGAAAACTAGTAACAGTTTAGAGACTTTTAAAAAATCAAGAAAATGTATTTAATATTTTGAAGAATACAATACAGAAAGTAGAGAATTTACATTTTAACAGATATACTTATTTGCAAAAGAATCCTTTATCTTTTTCTTCTATCTCTACCTCGAGTTATTGCTGCCATTGCTCCTCTGTGTCTCCATCTATTTATCTGCCTCTAGTACTGTTTACTTACTCTCATCTTGCGGCAGCAAATTAGTGTCGCTAAGAAGTGGTTTCTGTGCTCAGTGGAGCGCTCCCTTCCGCCTTTATCCCCTCCCTCCCGGCAATCCTTGCCCGCGCCCACATGGCGTATGCTCAACGCCGGTCTAATTAGTGTATTATGCACTCGCATGTGAGAAGCAGCCGACTCATCCGAATGCCTTTATGCCTTTGCTCCACTTACAGGCGGACAGACATCTCTTGCCACTTGCAACTGCAACAGGAGCAGAAGGAAGCCACAAAGGCCACAGAAGCATAAGCAGCAGCCGGGCTGAGCACAATTGCCAAGCGTGAAAGCAATAGAGGCGCGCCGGAGTTGTAGAGCAACGCCTTCACATTGGATTACGCGCAGTTTTACTTTAGAGCGGTGCCAATTAGTGGCCAACAGCAGCAACAACAGCGCCAGCAGCAGCACCAGCAGCTCGTGCAGCAGCAATTGCTGGCCCAGCAGCAGCAGCAACTGCAGATCCAGCAGCTGCAGCAACAATTGCTGCTGCAGCGACTCGAGCGGGAGTTGCAGCAGAACTACGCGGCCCTCAGACAGCGCTGGCTCACCGGCTACGAGCAGGAGCAGCAGTTGCAGCACCACCAGCAGCTCCAACAGCTCCAGCATCTCCAGCAGCTCGAGCAGCACCAACAGCTCCAGCAGCACCAGCAGCAGTACAGCTACTACTTCAGTCGCGGCAGCACAAGCACCGGCACCGGCAGCGGCCTGGGTCTGGGACTGGGCCTGGGCTTCGGTCTGGGCAGCGGCAACCTAGCCAGCTGGTACCACCTGCCCTCCACCTCGGCCCACATCTATATCGGCACCACTAGCAGCAGCAGCGGAGGAGCAACCGGAGGTGGCGCGGATAGCACTGCCTACCCGTATCCGTACCGCAGCTTAGGCACCTATTCCGGCGGCGGATATCCGGCGGCGGCACTAATTAACTTCGATGCCTCGCCCACCCCACTGCTAGCTTCAGCGGGAACCTCGCCGGGCTACCTACCGCCGCTAGCCGTTCCAGCGGCCTTGCCGCCACCACCGCCGGCGCCCAGTGTAGCCACCGACTATTATTTTACCAGCCGGAGTACACGGACAGTTCCGCCTCCGCCGCCGGCACCACCCACGCCGGCAGCAGTAGCAGCATCAGCGGTAACAGCGGTATCGGCGGGAGCAACAGCAGCCGCCAGACTATCGCCGTTCCGGGAATATAGTGCGGCGGAGGAGCTGCAAGCTGGCTATCGCTACAAGGCCACGCCCCGCAGGCGGTACGACGCCTACGACAACTACGGCTATCTGCCGGGCTTCGCCAGCACCACCGAAGACGAGGAGGACCTGCTCGAGGACTGCCTGCCCCAGGCGCTGCTATCCACCGACTGTTCAAGTCTCGAGGACGTGCGCTTCTTCCACCTGCAGGAGGAGGACGAGGACGAGGACGACGAGGAGGTGGCCACGCAGCTGGCGCACATCCTTGACCTGCCTGACTTTCTGCATCCGTACGGCGGCAGCGGCCGGGACGGCCTGCACAGCCACAAGACGCCGCCACAACACGAGTACCAGACGGAGCACGGCTCAGCCGCAGCGGGAGGGGCAGCAGGAGGGACAGGCGAAGTGGGAGGCGGAGGTCATTCGCAGCGCATCTCGGAGGAGCAGCGTTACCAGCCCTACCAGTACCAGCAACAGCACCAGCATCAGCAACATCAGCATCAGCCGCTTAATCAGCAGCAGCAGCAGCAGCAGAGGCAGCAGCAACAGTCGCAATATCCGCAGCAAGGTCAGCAGTTTCAGCAGACGCAGCAGCAGCAGGCGTACCACTCGTACCAATATCCTTCGCAGGACAGCTGCGAGGGCTTCAACCACTTCGCCACCAACGCCGGCAGCTGCCTGGGCAATCAGAGAATGATGGTTAGCAAATTGTGGAACAGCTGCTTCCCGGAGTTCACGCCGGACCATGTGCATCGGCACAACTTCTATCTGTGTCAGGTGAGGCATTATGCATCGATATTATCTCTGAAATGTCATTACCTAAACCCTAAAAACCATAATTTTAAATTGTGTAACCCACGTGTAAACTTGAGGTCAACTTAACAATTATTCGAACAATTAATATGAGTGTTTTCTTTAACTCTTCTGAGCAATCACAGTCATTATGAGCTCAAGAGAGTGACCGGAAAGAGGCTTTCTTCTTTTAAAACGGTCTTGGAAAATTTTTATGTTCAAACTGACTCTTTTTGATACATATTTATAAATGAAAACCCCCCAAAAAAAGGCACATTAATGTGACCCCTCCCTGGAATGCATTGCATGTTCTCGTAAAACTCTCAAATTTATGTTAGAATCCGCCCTTTTCAGGCTTATATTTGGGAACATTTTACACCTTACTGGAATTACAATGACTTTTATCTGTTAATTTTTTATTAAGTATTTTTCATGTATACACTCAAAAACATAAGTTTCTATATATAGAAAAAGCGCCCTAAAACTAAGAATGTTTTTCTACAATTAAGTAAAAGTTTCCATGAATTTAGGGCTTTTCAGGTCGAATTTGTAAATATAAAAATATATAGATTTTAAGTAGATATTTTTATGAGTGTTCTCTCATCTTTTCTCTCAGCTTTTCACGAAGTACGCGTCAAACCGCCAAGATAATTAAGTACATAGTATATTCCAAGTTTGTAATGTCTCGTAATGGGTCATAGCACTGTCGAGTCCCCAAATGCTGCATGTGCATCGTAAATTTGGTGTTATATGTTCAACTTAAGTAAATACGCTCTCTAGCTAGGTTAAGGTGGCATAATTCTGTCAGCTTTTTCAGTTTGAATCAACGATCGAAATGACGAGGATGTTTGCGTGTGACGCCAAAGAGCCATTCATAGGAATTTATACACCAATAAAACAAAGAGTTGTAATACAAATTTAATTTTGAACTAGTCTTGGTATAAGTTGCTTATTTTTACAATTATAAGCAACTAATTGAAACGTAATTAATGTATATTAGTATCTTAAGTATCAAGCCAGTAAGCTAAATAATGCTGCAAAGTGAAAGTGATTAACCCTGTGAAAGCTACTATAATAGCAATCTCTCCTCAGTGGCAACGCAACACTCAGGTGCGGATCGTGTACCTCTTCTATCGCTGGATCACGGCCATCACCTGTCTGGCGGCACTGGTCTGCTCCTTGCTGGACATCGGCCGCACCGAGGAGCACTTCGAGCACCACTATGCCAAGTGGTGGATCTACCTGACCCACTGGGGTCTGCTCTTCTGCACCGTACAGGCCTGGCTGGCTGCCTGGATCGTTACCCAGGGCATGATGGTGGAGCGAGAGGACTTTGAGATTGTGCGCCAGGCGAAGAAGAGCCGTCTGCATCACCTGTACTGGGTGCTCTACACCTGTGCCACGGTCTACGCGTTCATCGTTACCATGTGCTATTGGCTTCTGGTTCACAATCCAGGTGAGTGATTCTCTTAATTAACTTACTAATGCATAAAAGTATATCAGTCTAACATATATTTTTAAAAAATAGTAGATTACTAATTTTATTCGAAGCAAGTACAGTCCAATTAATACACATCTTGGTCCCTTATTAAAAGTATCTCCAAATCAAGAACACGCGCACCTGCAAAGTAAAGAGAAATAGGATTTAACAGGGCATTAAAAAATGACTGACGTCTTCGAATCTAACGTAAAACATTTAAATTAATAACACAACTATTAACGCAAGACATAAAACGACTATTAACGTAAACTTTTGGAGATCTGATCTGCACTATTGCCCCTTTCCAGCCCAAAATAATGGAGTTCAAGGGTTTACTCCAGATAAATGTTAATTATTTTGTTGGGTGCGTTTTGAAAAAAGGTCAAATGGCAAACATTAAAAGTATATTTACTTATTCGTTTGTAAAAATTTATTTATTATGTTAAGAAAAATATTATCAGATTGCTTGGTTATCCTCTATAAAGGATGGCTTACTAAGACTTTGCAGAGGCAGAATAAACCCGTCTAAGGTATTTTTGCACCTGTTTCCATTTAAGCTTATCTCTGGCCTTGTGTAAATGTATATCAGGACTTGGCACGTACATAAATTTAGACAAGACAAATGCTAGGCAGAAAACTTACTGCAGTTTTCCCGGCAGAAGAATATCACTTGACGTCCAAGGTCTCGGCCGACAAGCCATACGCAAAGACGATGCCGCCCACGGTGAAGGCGTAGTTAATGAACATCTTGGAGGCGGCCTCCATATACTGGTAGGCCATGTAGCCGTCCTGCTTTTTGGGAACAAAGATGCGCTGGGAGTTGTACATGGCCCAGGGACCGAATAGTACCACGCTGAGGCTGAGCGGCACATAGTAGCGCATCTGTAGACAGAATCCTAGGGCCACGGCGGAGACCACGAGCACTATCATGCTGGCGATGATGAGGATCCAGAGGTTGGCTGTGAGGAAAGCGGGCACCCACGCCCCCAACGCGGTGTACACGACCAGCACTCCCAGGCCGATCAGGATGAAGTGCCAGGTGATATCCTGCTCGATGAGCCGCAGGCACATTACCAGCAGCGTGAGGCTCTCGAAGGTGCAGCCGAATATGATCCAGTTGATCGGAAAGGACAATTGCAGCCGCCTGAAGCCGATGAAGGCCAGTGTCAGGTTGGTCCAAGAGAGCAGCAGGAGCAGGATGTAGAGGCTGCGCTCCCCCGGGGTCACCTGTGGCCGCCATCGATAGGTGGCGCCCAGCCACTGCAGCGAAGAGAGAAACACCTGAGCACCCAGCAGCACCAGCACATAACTACGGAAGGCGCAGGTGGAGGTCTCCACTCGCGTGTGTATCCTCGAGAAGGAGGTGGTCGCATCGGCATAATGCAAGTCAAAGCTGAGGTCCTCGGAGTATCGATTGTCCCGAGACGATTCATTGGATTGCTGCAAGTCGTTTGCCTCCCTGATATCCGGGGCTGACACCGATTTCTGAATGTTTGGCATACTAGCTGTCAGGCCGAGATCTCTTTCCTAATACACAACACTGACACGACACGGACACAAACAAAAGGGGCGACGAAAGAGCCACATCGATGAGTGATCAGCCACACAATGGCGTCGGGCGCCTCCGCCTCAAGGTCTGGCTGTGGATCTCCGTGGCGGCTCTGGTGGTCATCGTCCTGGCCATTGTGCTGCTCATCCTGCCGAGCCTGATAATCACCAAATCACTGGTGCCGAACGTCGTGGCCACCTACATCTTCTTCGTCCTTGGATTGGTGGCCTTGTGCGTGTACGCGTGTGTGACGTGGCTGCGCCGCCAATTTCCCTACGATTGGGTCATCTGCGGAGTCATTGCCGTCCTCCTGGCTTTCGGAACAGTCTCGGTTTTGCATGAGCGAGAACCGCCCCAAGTGCTACTCCTAAGCGTGGAGATCCTGATAATGCTGGTGCTGCTCCTGCTGTTCGGCTCCTACCAACTGCCCAACTGGCCCACAATAGCCCAGCTCCTGATCGGCTGGTACCTTTTTGCGGTGTTGGCCAGCTTTATCGTGGTGATGGTTTTCCAATACATGACCGACACTCTTTGTGCCATCAAGGTGGCGATGCACTTTGCGCTGTGGGAAGTGGCATTTCCGGTGGTCGTGTTCCAGGCCCAGGTAATATCCGGCTTTTGGGATAATGTGCCGCCTCTACTCGACAAACCGCTCTGTTCGGTAATGCTAGTTCTGGACTTTCTAGCCTGCTACGCCTTCCTGGCTTGTGTTGATGATATTGCAACCTTTATAGGCTACTTCGGGAAAGCGTCATCACAAAAATTCTTTATGCGTCTCATGGAATAGGATGGTTCGTGAGCTAATAAGGACCATGCCACATACATATGTATTTAGGCATCGAGTATAAGGCACCAGCCTGCTGAGAAATGTGTTTAATTTAATAAAGTAATTCTTACTAGACCTTTGGAAAAGGTCCTTATAAATTAAGCTAACTAAAAAGAGAACTTCCTTTAATAATAATAAATATTTTAGGGAATAATAGAATCATAGTCTTCTGGGAACTAGCAAAAAGCTGGAATAATTAGTAATAAACATAAAAATATATTAATTAATATATTCCCAAACTAAATCGCCTTTCAGATATCCACAAGATCGATACGCTGAACATCATGGTGCACGTTTTGAACTCTATTATTATGCTCATCGACTTGGCCGTGGTGGGACATCCGATCAAGATGAGCCATGCCTACTTCACCACTGGAATAGGGCTGGCCTATGCCATATTCACGGGAATTTACTTCTTGGCCGGCGGCACTGACAGGTGAGTCCCAGTTAATCCATGTGAAGCAGTTGATCTGACAAATCGCTTGCAGGAAGAATCAAACTGCCATCTACCCGATGATGGACTGGACCAAGCCGGGCAAGGCGATCATTGTGACGGCCTGCGCCATCATCTTCACGTTCTTCGTGCACTTCTGCTGCTACCTCCTCTACCGCGGTCGGGTGTGGCTCTTCACCAAGCTCTGCATCCGTGGGCGGCACAACCGCGACGGCGAAATGGGCGAGGGTCTCAACGACGACTCGGGTTCCCGCATGGGCGGAGGTGGCGGCGGAGGAGGAGGTGGCATTGGTGGCGGCGGCGGTTCAGCTGGTGGCTCGGCGGGTGTCGCTGGCGCTGGGGGCAGCAGCCAGGAGTATGCCCACCAGCAGCAATACCCCATCGCCCATACGGAGCAACCGCGGGCGGGCAGCAACCAACAGCAGCAGCAGCAGCCGCCGGGCAGCTACCAGATGCCGCCGCAGTACTCCGGCTATCTACAGCAGCCGGTGGTCGCCGGAGTCAATGTGGGCGTAATCAGTGCCGAGGGCGTTTACCAGCCCATTGGGACAGACGCCGGACGCACCAGCGGAGGAGGCGGTGGCGTCGACGGCAAGCATAAGACCACCTCGGGCTCCGGATCGGGAACTGGACAGGGGCAGGGACAGGGTTCGGGATCGGGCTCGGCCTTGACGCGCACCGTGGCCCATTTGGAGGCGTCGCAGCGGGAGCAGTTCCTCAACCCCAACAAGATCGTCGAGTACAAGATGTAAAGGCGTTGCACCCGGCACCGGTATACGTTCCACTTGTCCATGAAGTTTCTGGAGAAGCACTGTGCCCAGTGCGAGGCAACGCGCAGCGCCGTCTGCGAGGAGCAGCGCCACTTGGCGGAGGTCGGTGACTCGGCCTCGGTCCAGGCGCACGAGCACAGTGGTTAGTTCTTAGAGTTGCTTTGGAGGCGTCTGTCTAGATTTCGAGTACCTACCTGCCAGGCCAATCGAAGGATCGCCCCCAAAATCAGTATTGCACTTGGTATTGTTGTTTGGCAAAGTAGTTTGTAACCGTAGTTTCGTAATTTTGTAAAAGCTTTGCCAATTTTTTAAATGTGTAGACGCTTCTCGGCGGGCAGGCCAGGGCCCGCATATGTAGCACGAACTAAGTTTAGAATACTAGAGATGTTCCTTTAAGACGAGGATTACCATTGAGTGGGTAATTTAGGGTAATCCCTTCAGCAAGTCGTTCCAACAATTTAAAACGTTTTAATGGACTAAGTTGAACATGTAATTTATGTGTTAGAGCTCCACGTATACGTATTAATTTTGACCCCCATAAAACGCAATTGTGTTCAGCAAAAATATAATTACACTGCGAGTATTAACCCTTAGTTTCGGTTCTTGCTCATGAAGAAGGAAAAAAAGTTCAATACTGCCTACGATAATTTAAAATTTAAATTATATATTTTTGAGCATAGGTTTTCTTTCCCATTAATCCAAAGAAATTTTATATATCGGTGCAGGTGTCAAGCCAGCTCATGCTTCATCCAGGGCAGCACACCACTGAGGTCCTTTTGGGTGCAATGTTTACGGAGCATACGGACATGGCTAATCAAATTGGCAGTTTTTTAACGGAACTAAAGACAAACAGAAAATAGAGAAAACATTAATTTTAGGACATGCTTGGCATTGATTTGCTTAGTGATTAGTGAATTAATAATATATATATATAATACGTTTATTTACATAAATTATTTCTCAGCAAGCCCGAGAGCTGAAAAGACACTCTAATAAACATTATTCTACAGAGCACCACTCCCGAAGGAAGTTACCAATAACACTAACAGAAATAAATATTTTAGCGTACGATGTTGAAAAGTGTATTACTTAACGTTTTCCTTTTTGCTCAGAAAATAAACATAGGTATCGAAATTCCTGTACTCTACAAAAATTCACACGAATTCCTTTTGTTGCTCTCTGCCACTCGGAGGACCCTCCGATGCACTGAAGAAAAGCGGAATTCTATATATGTATTATGCATATTTATGTGTGTAAATAGCTCATTTTGAATAGGTTCATAAAATTCTATCTATATTCAAATGCATTAGCCAACAAGAAATTAGGAAACTGTTAAAGGAAAATATCAGATCGCGTAAAAGGGTATAGCCGACAACTTGAATACGGAAATTCAAAAGGAATTCATTAAACTAAAAATCAAATGCATGGAATAAAACTCGTCAAGAGGAATGTGTTAACAAGCAAAAGCTAAACAAAATACAAGAGAATATTTAACCAAATATACAAACACAATCACACACCAAATAGCAGTCCCCCACTATTCTACTCCCCCACATAATATTGACTATATACTGTGTAATGCATAGCCAGGTAAAGTAAACAGCCATTAATTTTTGATAGATTTACATACAGACATGCGAGTATATTAACCAGGTCATCCTCAGATCTTCAAGAAACCTTATTTTACCATACTCACAATTATGTCGCACACCTTCCCTCTTCGTTGGAGAACTGAATGCATTTCAGTCTAGCACGTTTTTCCGAATTTGTTTTCTAAAAATTTAGCTTAAATGTATAAATGGATATTTATATAGACTGAATATTATTAAAACAAGAGAAGAAAAAATCTAAAGAAAAATCTAATACATGAAATGAAACGATTTAACCTTTTTGGAACTGTAAAGATATAAGCAAAGCAATAAAATGCTACAATTCATAACATTCAAAAACCGTAAACACATATCAACAACACTTGGCAGCAAGATCAACCTTTTGTTCAAAGCCACGGGTAGTTTTTGAAATATTTGGGTTCTCTTAGATATGTGTTTATTCCATTAATATCAATATTTATTTAATTTTAATATTTAAACTAGATATGTTGATTTGTTAACCCAACAAAAACCAACACAGAAAAGTTCTTTAAAATAAAATTCTTAAATTTTTGACTTATTTAAAATCTCAATTGTAAACTGCAATCTAAAAACTTCTGCTTCCGGAAGATAGCTTCCTTTATAGTTTTTTATAAAATCCTTTTTAAATAATATTTTATCCTTTCTATTCGGAACATATATCTCAGAGACCCAATCATTATTCTTTCTTAAAAACTATTCGTGGCATTTTTAAGTGTTGCCATTCAAATAGACGAAAAGAAAATGTTTCAAATTAAACAAGTTGACCTCATCAAGAACCACACCAAACAAAATAAAAACAAAACGAACAAATAAATAAACATGTACTTGCATAAAGAAATATGTATAAATTTAAAACAATCATTATAAAATATGTATGTAAATGGAGAGTATATTTAGCAGAGAGAGAGTCAGAAATTCGAATATTATATTTTGTAGATTTTTAGTAAATTAGACGTGAACGATTACAAAGCCCAATGTCAACCTACATACAGACATGCATATATCGGTAAAATATGTATCCCAACTATATACATCCCCACACCTATACATATGTAGCTCAGCTCCCTGTACCCAAGTTGAGAATTAGAGTTGATATTGTTGATTGAACAAACGAGGAAATGGAAAAGCTTTAAGAAACCAAACCGATTGGACGACACTTTTATACACCGACATAAAAGTTGCATTAATTTAAATTGCTCAGAGGAGTTCGTAGGCGTTGGCTCAGCAGGTCCTAGAACCCGAGAAATGCTCAACAGGATTCAGTATTAGGAAATGGCAAGGATTGAGGGCGAAGCGAGTATACAAAGGAAACTAAGAAATCAAAATGTTATTTAACAAAGCACTCCAAAAAAATAAAACGTAAAAACTGCATGTGTTGATGAAGAAATAAAATTTCAATGTTGTGAAATTTGAATAATTAACAAGAACAAGAACAAGCCAATTGTTTACTTCAAAAGTATTTCTGCGCATTTAAGCAAAATCGATAAAAACAATGCTTCATAATTTCAACTTATGAGCCGAAGTTATGCTAAGCAAACAAAAAAAAACCAAGCAAAGTAAGATTTTAATGAGCAGAATGCGGTCTTACAAACAGTATAAACAGAGAACGCAAGATAACAATTGTTTAGAAAACTCATCTAGTGTAAACACTAATGGATGTCATGCATTTTAAAAGAAGCATAGCAACAGCTAAACTATTATATTACCAACAAAATGATAACAACACACAATCCATTAACTTGCGTACGTAAGTATGTTTGTATGTGCGTACATGCAAAATATAATATATTAATAAAATTATGTATTTCAAGCAAAGAATTGTGAATTAGAAATAAACAGAAAAAATGTCAAGCAAAAATGGTAAATAAAGATTGTACAATACAAACAAGTCTCAAAATATTTCAGCATACCAGAGGAAAATTTCAGAATGAGTCCCATTAAATACATTTTGTTTAAAGCCCAAGAAAAAACAAATTCCTTTGACATTATTAATTTATATTTTGTATATATATATATTATTTAATTACAAGTAATTATTGCACACTCAAATGCGACTTCTAAACCTTAATACAAAATCTATTTGTCGTTTTACATATCTTTTTATTCCATCGAAATTGATTTATGTTTCATGGTCACACATACCTACAATTTTATTAATTAAATAATTAGTAACATAATTTGGTTTCTGCGACTTAAATATTAATCAAATACAAAAAGCTGAAGTTCTATATAATCGTTTTATTTTATTTGAATTTTATTTACGATCATCGAATCACTTTGTCTCTTACGTTTCGTGTAACTAATACAAACTAAACAAAAAGCATCAAGAGAAAGTGTAGTGTCGAGGAGGGGGAAGGGTTTAACCTGATATCACGTATATTTAGGGATAGGTGCGGTGCGGGTTTTGGCAAAAAACGAAACGACACAGTGAGAAAAAGAAATGCAGAAAGTGCTAAATAATAAATCAAGTTTAAATCAAGAAAATAATAGTTAGAAAGAATCAATATGGGAGTCTCCGTCTAAGAGAGCTTCAGATAAGAGGGCGGTGAACATTTTTTACGCAAGAACTTGATTATATACAAAGGTAAGCAGGAGACCAGTGTGATGAGGGAGACCTTCCACAGAAAGTCGTACGACCAGATAAACTCCCAGTCTGCAAGAGAAGAGAATGAAAAGTTATTGTTGAGTTATTATTATCCGTTTCAAGCTGAACTTACCGAAATACTCGTGTAACACGGCCAATGAAATGAGATATAGGGCCAAGCTGAACAGCTCCGCTAGCACCATTAGCCTGCAAAGGTTTATTAATTTAGTTTAAATATAAATAGTTATATTAAAAGCTCTTACCTATGCCAAGTACGCACGGTGAGGGCCACCATGATGAGCTCAGTCATAATCAAAGCCGAGAAACTGATGGCCACAATGTGGATGAACTCGTCCACAAAGAGTATGAGGGCTCCGTACATAATGACACCGCCTTGATATATACTGATCAATACCCAAATGAAGAAGGTCTTGTAGCTGAGACTGCGTCCCTTGGAAAGGTCCTTGTACAGCTCCGGATATGTAACCGCAGTCTCGGAGGTAATGTCCTGGTCCAGCACCAATGAGAACACAGGGAACATGGTGTACAGCGTCGAGTATCCGACCATCAGGAAGCCCTGGTACAAGGCCACCGAACTGAGGTAGAAAACCGCCGAGAACACCGCCTGCAGGGTTGTAATAATCAGGCCACGATGAATGACGAATTGGGAGAGCGCCGCCGACCGCTTATAGCTCCGCCGGCCATGAATGAGTAGCAGCTTGGCGATATGCGAGAATTGCGGAATGCTAAAGTCACCGGCCAGCGATGCCTGCCGGCCCTCTCGTCCCTCGATTCCGACGCCAGCGTCCGCCTGCTGGATCATGCTGACATCGTTGCCGCCATCGCCAACGGCGCAAGTTCGCTTGCCCGTATGCTTCTGGATAAGGGCCACCACCTGCGCCTTCTGGGTGGGCGAGCAGCGGCAACATACCACGGCCGGCGAGGCCGTGGCCAGTTCCAGGAACTCTGGCCTGTAATACTGCAAGCAGACCTCGAGCGACTCGCCCGATATGACCAGAGCATGGCCCTGCTTTCGCCGGAAGCTGTTGAGCTCCTGATGGGCATCCGTTCGCGTCTTGACGGAGCGTAGGACGTGCAGCCCCTGGTTCCGGCCAATCAACTGAGACGATTTGGCGATACAGCAAGCCGTCTCCAGCTTGTCGCCGGTTAACATCCAAACTCGTACGCCGGCATTGCGCAGAAGCTCCAGCGTGGGGCGCACATTCTCCTGCAGACGATCTTCCACGCCCGTCAGGCAGAGCAGTTCCAGCTCACGCTCGAGCGACTCTGTTACGGCCGCTACCTTGGCAACGCGATCCGTAATGCTAAGCCGGGCGGCATTATAGCGCATCTCAAAGTCCGAATACTGTTCCTCGGTGAGCACCTTCTTGGCCACGACCAGAGTACGAAGGCCCTCTCGCGCCATATTGCCAGACTCCTCGCTCAGCCAGTCATTGTACTGCACGATGCTGGACATGACCACGTCGGCACCCTTCAGGTAGAACGTTATCTGGCCTGTCTTGCTCTCGCGCACAATGATGCCCATCCGCTTGCTCTCGCTGGTGAAGGGGAAGAGCTGCAGGATCTGATAGTGCAGCAGAATGTCATCTGAAAGTGAAGTATTGAAAAGAGTTTCAGGGTCTACAGGCATCTCCTGTAGTGGCTTGTACTCACTGTCGTCGTTGGGGGTCTTAACCTGGAGCGTCATTGTGTTGAGATCCCTGGCAATCAGGGTCAGGCCCACCTGCTCCGTCCACTTGACCAGAGCTATCTCGTCCGGTGATGCAGCCTGATACTGATGCTCCGTGTCGGTGCTGCCAGGAGCCTCGATGTTTATCACAGATTTGGTGGGTGAGTTGTTGCCGCCGGTGACCGTTGAGGCCGTGGACACGGATCGATTGTCCTCGTCATCGCTCACCGGGGTAACATTGTGACACAGGGCCAGGGCTCGCACAGCCTCCCACTCTCGCCAGCCCTCGGGTCGACGCATCCTATTGCCGGCGAACATGATGGGGGGCTTGTTGTTGGACTCACCGCCGCTGCTCGAGCTGGAGACGCTGCCCTGCTGCTGCTGCTGTTGCAGAATGTTGCCCGACAGCTTCTGTATCATCTGGCCAATGTGATGGAAGGTGTCCGCGTCATGGGACACGATACCCAGATGGATCTTCTTGAAGACCATCTCGTTTTGTGTCAAAGTGCCCGTCTTATCCGTCAGCACATATGATATCCGACCAAGCTCCTCGGGTATGGTCGTCGACCTCACCACCGTTCCCTGGATATTTGAATCATTCTGCATTTGCCACGAGTAGAAGGCCTTGCCCATGTCCAAGTTCACGCGCAGACTGATGGGAATAATGTAGGAGAAGAGGAGCACGAAGCGGAACATGTAACGGTACCAGGGGCCACCGAATCCCTTCAGCATCATCATGACCAGCGACAGACCCAGCACGGCACAAAACAGAACCTGTTTACGTAGAAAATGCTAGTTTAAAATATTTGCTTCTTTTATTTGCAGTCCCTTACCTTGGTCAATCCATTGATCTCCATATCAAGCAGGC